TGGTTCTTCAGAGTTACGCTGGGTAACAATCTCTAATTTAAAATCAGATGACATTGACATATTATAAACCTGAAAGTAGGGAAAAGAGACAAACAAAACAGAAAAGAAGGAACAGTTACTTATTCCAACTTTACAAGACTAAAGATAAAGAAAATAACAAATTCAAGGAAAACATACAAAAAGATAAAAATATGTTGAGCAAAAAGACTAAAAATCACACTCCAACCAAATGAAACTTTGAAAGTGATGTTTAAATTCATGTTTCGCATTGAACCCAATATCCTGAATAAAAAATATAGCAAACAGAAATCATCTAATGTGTCATGCAATTCTTACCAGCTACAGTTAAGAACAAAAGTCATGATGAAAGGAAAACGGCAATTCAGCAAAAAGGAACAAGCAAACATAAAAGAACAACGTTAGCACCAAAGAAACAAAAAACCATCAACAACACAAACAAAACAGCAGCAACAACAGACAAAAGCTCAAAAACCAACGAGAAAAAAGTGGCTCACCGGATAACTATCTCAAACACAGTGTCCACGGCGTGATCATCCACAAAGATACAAACTTGAGCTAAATGGAGAATACCCAAATGAAGATAAATTGACAAAAACTTCAAAATCTCCCTGGGAAACAGAAGAACAGCGCCTACCCAGTTGCGAAAAAGGGGAAATCAGAGCATAAAGTGGGAAATGTCGAAACTTTTTGAAGAACACGCAAAGAGAGAAAGCGCACTTTAAGTAGAATAATGGAGATGGAGCGGATTCCGAGGGCTTCAAAGTCAAAGAGATTGAAGCTGCCATGCCCATGGAATTGGCTTGAAGAACAAGTAAGCGAACTGGAATTAGAGAAAAGAAAAGATGGGTTTTGCGTATGAATGTGAGGTTTTCGAGGGGTTTTGTTTAATCGAAATTTTGGAGCGAACATGGCATGTGTCAGCATCTCGTTCACAACCTGTTCAAATTTCTCAATTTTGTTATCTCATTTTTACTTTTATTTTTAATTTTTAATAAATTTTCTAGACTAGAATCCTTAAGATGCTTGCTAATAAAATGTTTAGGTAATTTTAATCAATCTTCCATTGGTTTATTAATTAAAGATAAAAATTTAATAAAAATTACATTAAAATATTCGAAATATTTACACACACAAATAATCAAACATATATTTTGAAATGTGTTGTTATCTTGGCTCTTTTCAAAATATATCTAGCTATCCAGACTAGTTTAGCTTAGTTTTAGTTTAATCTATGGTAAGTCACTGTGAGTTGCTCTTCATTTTCTTTCGTTTTCGTACAATTTTTTTTATGCAATCTTATAAAATGATGAGAATTATTGTGAATTAGAGTTGATAAACAAAATTATATGAATCATTACTATTAAAAATACATAAATTAAAAATATTTTTTTAAAAGGTTATCAACGATTTTATTATTAGATGAATTTACAGATATATTAAAGTCATCTATAATTTTTTAAAGTAAATTAATATAAAAAATTTAATTAAATAAAGTATAGAAAAAATATTCATATGTAACAATTAATTTATTTTTGTTACTTGTATAATTATTTCTTCTTATTTCTAAATATCACATTAATTTATTTGTAAATGGGTCATTATAATTTCGTCTTTGTAACAAAATATGCAAACTTTCAAACAATAAAAAAAGAAGCATTTCCTTATATATTAATACCTAATAAAAAAAAAGCATTTCTTTCACGCAAAATCAATATATTATATAAAAAATATATTAATAAATAAATTATAAACATACATATTACAATCTTAAAAAATTTTAAAGCGTATCATTTTGTAACTTTACAGTAGACATATTTTACTATATTCTTAAACAATTAAGAGAATGATCTCTACACCCATCCTCTAATCCTACAACTCTATCTTAGAAATTATAAGTCTTTATTATATATAAAAAAAACTAAATTAATTAAAAATTAGAGTATTGTAGAAAGGATACAATAATGCAATTTGTTTTCAAAATGGACACTCTAACTGGTGACAATAGGTAAAAAACTAAAGATGGTAGAGAGAAATAGGAAAAAAAAATAGAAAGTGAGAAAGAAAGAAAAAAAAACACGGTTTTAATTTATTTTGTATGTTACAATCAAATTTTTCTATTTATAATTTCATTAAATGTAGTTACATGTAGAAAAATTTGTTTGTAACGAGTTATATAAAAAGACAAAATTATGTTATAAAAATTCATCATAATTCTTGCCTTAATTTTAAAATGCAGGTAAAAAATTTTATTTATAATTTTATTTGTGATATTATGCATTAAATAACGGGCATTTATAAATAAATTTTAATAATAAATTTTTATGTCAATTTTATAGATAAATTTACCTAAAAGTAATATTAAAAAAAAAATTTAATTTATTATCTGTAAATTTGTTTATAATACAAACTAAAAAATTTGCCGATAAAATTTGTTTGTAATTTATGTGTTTCTGGTAGTGCATTCTGAAATCAGCTTATTAAGAGAAAAAAAAATGTAACTAAATGAAGATTATTCTAAGCCTTGTAACTTGATTGTGCTTTATGATCCAACGCCTTGGAATCAGTGATGTTTGTAACTCTTGAACTTCCTTTTAGGCAAAATATAAAGACTCGGAAGGGATCAGTGTGTGATTATAATGCATTTCCATTCCCAATTAATGATTGAATTTTCTATAAATTTGAGTTATAAAAGTGTTATTGAATATTTTTTTATTGTGTGATTGATATTGCAATGCTACTTAATAATCATAATGAACTAATTAATGGTGATATTGACATAAATTTGACTTATTTTTCTATTGTAAGTCATTATTATATATTTAAAATCATTAAAAGGCTATAAAACAATTTCATCCATTTTTTTCCCTTTAACCATCACATGCAAAAAAAAAATAAAAATTGGGATTTGAAAAGTTTAATTGAGAAATTAACAAATTGCAAGAGGTGATAACTTTAACCAGATATATACTACACTTTGTACGAATGTGATTTATGAGTTTATATAATAAGTAATAGTTTATTTTTAATTATTAGCCATTCAAAATATATTAATAATACTATTAGGAATTTAATTTTAATGCATTGTTAGTATAAAAAAATTACATAATCATTCAAACAGAATACATGTTAGGTATATTTTTAAAATTAATTATTGCAAAAATAAATCATTTTCTTTAATATAATAATTTATAACTGTATAACAGTATACAAATATGTACATATTAATGAATTTTAATTAAATTCTAATATTAAATCATTTTTATTTTAACAAATAAATCATTATCAATTATGTTAAAAATGAAAAGCATTAATTTAGTATTTATTCAATAGAAATTAGTATATTAAAAATTATGGTGTCAAATAAGTTGCTCAAATAACATCAATAAGTCAATTTTCAATTTATAAATTGAAAAATAATTACAGATACAGACACACATTAAGATTCAAAGGACTAAAAAAGGTTAAAGTATTCCATTTTTTTTTTTGACTCATAATGTGTTCAAAATTCATATTATTGTCAAATTAAAAATATTAAATGTAATAAATATTTTTCCAATTATAGCCTCACCTAAAAAAATTAAAAGAATGTGAAGGTAATTTTTTTATTTTATTATCTTCTATTTAATTTAATTAGAGCAGGTAAAAATTGGTTACTCAGCTGATTCAAACTGGCCTACACAATCTTAAGCTAGTTGGAAAAAAAAATCCAGATATACATACACTGAATTTTGTATGTATAATTATTAGTTATTCAACCAATATATAAAAAAATTATATTATCAATCAATTAAAATGTTTCTTAAATATAATATTTAAATTAACTATTATAAAATAAAATAAAATAATTTTACTAATATAATATTTTAAGTCCCAGATTTAATTCATAGTAAAAATTAAAATTAAAATAAAAATCCTCTTACATTTTACAAATTCAGTTCAATCTAGTTTGACAAGGCCCATTTGAGGGAAGAAGATATGGATACATCCTTGTTCCGATCCAACAAGGTTCTATGAACTACAAACACAAACCGAGTGACAGTTCACTGCAAACAAGGACATTTCTAATAATTTATACTTGTTCTTGTCAAAATTTCTTGAAACTCTTCAATTTATACATTGAATTTACTCTCTGTATTTCCTTCTTTTTCTTCATCCTCTCCCAAGAAGATAAAACAAAAAATACTTGAGATATAGCTTTTCAAAATCAAGGTTTTAATTAGAGAGATGCTCTAATCAAGTGGTTGAGAGAGCAAATCAAACCTAAAAGCTCTTCTTATAACAAGAAATTTATCAGTCAAATACAGAAAAACCCAACACATGCATGATACTTCAAAATCAACGTTTCAATTATAGCTTGCTTCAACTACTAGTTGAGATAGCAAATCAAACCAAAGTGTTTTCCTTATAATAAGAAACAAACAAGTCATTGCAAATAAAAATGAAAATTTTAAGCATCTTTTGCCATTTGAGAGTCGCTTTTTATCTCTTGAGACGTTTGGGGTCATTCAGAAAGAAACAATCAAGCATACTAACAAAAGGTTAGTTAAATAAAACTTATATAGTCATACAATTTCTAAACTTTAACAAGCTGAAAATTTTCACAATCTTCACATTAAAAAGCTATCCAATTACCAAATAATCACATGACAAGCAATGGGTACCATTTCTATGTTTGAATGAACCCACTATGCTATCTGCCCCTCATCACAAACTGAAAATTAAAGAAAATCACAAAGAGAAAGGCAACCCTAATAACACAACCAAAAGGTATTCACCTCAACACACACTTACATCCAACACATTTCAATTTCTATACTAAGTAGTGTCAATTCAATGCACACTTTTTTGTGCACAATGATCCAATAACCATCATTATGTAAAAAGTAAAAAAGCATCTCTTAGCTACAAAATACTTAACCAAATTAAAATTACAACCCACCATCATGACCGTTGGATCAATCTCACATAATAATCATTCATCACACACTATACACAATGACAAAGCAAGGAAGCACAGCCCTAGGATTAAACACCAACAGCTCCTCCTCATCAAGGCGTGTGTAAACTCCACTCTCTCCACGCGCCATCACCGAATCAAAACCCCCATCCTCCTTTTCCACGTCATCAGAATCGGATCCAACCCGACCCGCAATTACCCGACACACTAGCATGGCCCGCTTCACGTTCATGAAGCGAAACTCACGCTCCACGTCATCAGGAATTGACACATGTGCACGCCAGCTGGTGGACAGCGTGGAAATTCCATCAAGCTTAGGAGAAAACCCTGATTTTATGATACCACAAATATTACAAAATTGCTGTGAACAAATCGAAGAATCCCCATTTTGTCCCAATTCGCATAAGAACGTGGCACAGTGGAAACGCATGAGCTCGTTGCCGTCGGCGATGCACCGCTCGTCACGGCGGCGCGTGAGGGTGCCATGGCGCGTGGCCTTGGATTTCACGCTCTCGCGGTATTCCTCGAACTTGGAGAGGATCTTGGGGCTGTTGTGGATCTTTAGGATTCGTGTTACGCGCGGAAACTCCTTGGTTTCGGGCCAACCCGACTTGAATATGATTTGGACAATGTTGTGACCCGGGTCCGATCCGGTTAGCTCCGAAACGGCGTGTTTTGTGGATTGGTGTTGTTCGAGGAACTGGGGTTTCTGAAAGATCTCGCCGCACGCGGTGCAGGGGAAGATGTCGTTGCGGAGAGGGAAGAAGAGGTTGTTGTCGGCGGAGATATCGGATTCGGGGCACGGCCCAGTTGGTTTTTTGCGTTGAAGATCCGGAGAAAACAGGTCGGGTTGTGTTAGAGAAATGAGCGATTGGTGGGAGGTTCTTGCGGTGGTTAAGGAATTCGCGGCGGCGGCGGCGGAGACGGTGGTGTTGGCGGTGGATTGTGGGGATGATTGGGCGGTGGCGGTGGTGGTTTTACAGGACTTGGTGGAAAAGAGGTGTTTGATGAAATGCCAAGAAGATGAAAGTGCTTTGTGGGTTTTGAATTTGGGGTGGGAAGGAGAAGAGGGTTGGGATAAAGGTGAGATTTTTCGTTTCTTTGACTGCGGCGCGTGGCGGTTGTCTTGTTTTCCGGCGGCAGTGGAGGTGGTGGTGGTGAAGATGAAGCAGCCAAGGTGGACAAGAAGGATGAGAAGATAGAGGAACTTGTTGAAGAAGGTGGCAATGGATGCCATAAGTTGTGTGTGCCAAAAATAGAATCTTTTGTGCTCTCTCTCTCTCTGTCTATATCTTTGTGGATTTGTAGTCACAGCTAGCTATGAGGGCAATGCATGGTGGTGAATGGGGTGATCTTGGTTGTTCATTTCATTGCAAGTGATCAGTGAGAGGAACATGCATGAGTTAGTCACTGATGGGGTGAAGAAGGTGAGAAGGAAAGTAAACAGAGAAAGGGAAGAAAAAAGAAAGAAAGAAACAATGCAAAAGGAAGATTGATAGGTGAGGTTATAGGGTGTGGGGGCATTAGAAGAAGAAAGAATAAAGATAAAGACTATAAAGAGTAGTTGGAACGCAACTTCATTGTGTTAACTTAGCATTGATCTCTTTCTCTCTCTTTCTTATTATGTGCCTGTGTTGTGTCCCATATAGAGATTATTAATATTATTTGAGGAAGAGGGGTTTGGGGTGTGAGTGGAAGAAGCTTAAGGACACTGTTGTGTTGATGACGTACAATCTTTAACCGAAAGTAACGCTCTGTTATTCTACACTTTCCTAGTTTCCATTGCTAATTTCCCCTTCAATTCAGGATAGAAAGTGATTCTCTTGCTATCTGGTGGCACACGGTTAAGCAATTATGAAGCAAAAACTCAACTCAATTTTACCTCTTCTATGGAAATTGGAACAACCATTGACGTGGATAAGCAATTATGAAGCATTAAATTAGCTCGAGTACACTTCATCCACAATAATGAGATTCGTGTGTGAGTAAGAATTAAACTACTGTAAAAGCACAATAGGGTGCTAAATATTGAGATGGAGTATTAGCTATGCAACAATTTGATGAATGAGTTGTCTTTGTTAATGTCACATATGGTCATGTTTAGATTGATGTTGAGTTAACTTATTTTATTATTTTTTAAATATATTTTAATATTCATAATTATAGCAATTTTGTGTTTGCTAGTTTTTTTAAAATTTATTTAATATCTATTTTTTTGTTAGCTACATAGTTAACGTCTATTGATATATATATAATAATAAATTTATTTTTAAAAATAACATTTTAAATTTGAAGCTCAACATAACTCTCAAATACCAAAAATTTAGGACAAAAAAGTTGATAATGTTGAATTTATAGCAAACTATTAAATCTTTTCACCATTAGCTTACATTCAAAATTCTCATAATGTTTTGCTTATAAATGTTTTCAACACAAATTAATTGAATGGACAGTTTTCTGTATTTTTGAAGAATTATGACAATGTCAAATCAAGGTGAGAAAGATGCAATTAATTTTAAACCCCTAAAAATATGAGTCCTGCGGAAGTGTTAAATGTGCTGTTGTGTATATTTTCTCCAAAAATAACTGTACCTTAATTTTATGAAAAATAAATAAACAAATCAATCAATTATACTGATAATAAAAGACATCCCTTCCCATGTCTTTGATACAAATCATAAATGATTGGCCATCCTTTAAATAGTTCATTGCACTGTTGCAATTTAATTAGCAATTCTACTTTTTGGTAGCACATAGAAAAACTAACGAGATTGTGGATCACAAATTTATTTATTATTAAGTTGGAATATTTGATTATCAATAGTCTTTTCATTCAAAACTTTACACAATTACACAAACAACTCTATTGGAGTTTAGTTTAGAGCAGGGCCACTTTCCAATAAGACCTCGTTTTTAATGGAAAAAATTCTTTCATAATAATTTTGTCTCTGTGCATCTAAAATAACTTGGAGGCATTTGGCAAGAAAATATAAAAAAAATTTCAACACAATTTATAAAATATAAAATATTTAGAACAAATCACAAATTACTATTAATATTCAATCATGGTTGGAGGGAAAATCTAGTCCAAAAAAACTAATAAAAACATACAACAGATTTCTTTCATTTTTCTCTTTTTATTGATTGGTTGTTTTACAAAAGACAATTGTAATACTTTACATTTTTAATAGCATATTTGAGGTATAAGAATTATAAAAGGTCAGCATTTTAGTGTTAAAAGAGATTTAAAAGTTTACCTTTTTGTATAACCAATAAATATTATAAATATGTTAAAACAAAAATTGTGGGTAACATGTAATTTACAGTTTTAAACCCGGAATGTGTAGCTAGTTAAGAATTCAGAATAATTAATTACAAAGAACATGAATGCAATCCCAGACATGCAAGACAATGATGTCAGGATTGACATCTTAAGAAGGCAACAAATCATGTTTGCCATGTGAATATCATAAGAATTTTACTCAAGATTGTGATCCATGCAATGCAGATTCTTCAGCTAGCATCTTTGGCTAAGCATAGGAGAATTTTCTAACTCATGTTAATAATAATAATAATAATAATTTCCAACATATATATGACACCAACGTGAGTATCTCACGTGGAGAGTTGCTGAGGAAGCGGTTGATCCACTTGGATAACAATTTCTTATCACAAATCAAATATGAAAAATGTTAATCAAATACACTAATTAAAGAATCAACATAAAACTACTTTATTTGAAAACATAAAAATACACTTTTATAATCTTTAATATATTTTAACATAACTTATAGTAAAATTTTATTATTTATGAACTTTTTAAACTAATTCCATGACCCATAAAATATATAGTTAAGTTGCTATTAATTAATTATTGTTTAGAGGTAGCTTAAATGAAATAGCATTACAATTAATCCGTTTCTTAAGGAGAATCCAAAGTGAGCACTTGAGTTTGTCTAGTCCTTTACATAAATTTCCTTTTAAAGATTCGAGAGTACACACATGACTTTGTCTCTTAGTGCCCATTTTCTGATTTAAGTGCTTAACTTATCACCCTTTAACGCTCTTTTGGGATTGTAATAAATAAAGCTAAATGGTGTCTATTACAATGTATTTATACTGCTTCACAAACTCATTTGCATGCTTCTTATTGAGATTTGTACTATGCAGTGTCTTTGGCTCACAGACAAATGTTCCTGTCCGTTAAGGACGTTGAAGCACGTGAGAATGAGATAAGCCACTTTGTCATTAACTACAAGACACCTTAGAGGGAACTGTTTTTAAGGTTTTATTTCTCTGCTTCAATTTTAGTGCCTTATGTTCTGCTTCTGCCCAATGATATATGTAATGTATAAGGTGGGCTATCATTTGAGACCATGAATGAAACCAAGGGCTCATAATAGAGAAGTAAATTTCATTAAGATAGTGATTGTTATTAAATTCAATATAATATTAGTTTTTATTTTATTAGTATTTTATATATATATATATTTTTAAATATAATAAGTAAAATAGTTATACTAATCAAGTTGTTTAAAGATTAAATAAAGATTAACTAATAAAAGATAAATTGAAAATTATTACATAATTCTAATAAAATATTCAATTCTTTAATTTGTGTGTTTTTTTATTTAAAAAATAAGTCAAAACAGAAAACTCTCTAATCGTATGTATAAAAAAATTTCACTAATATTTTTTTTATCTAAAATATAAAAAAAAGGACATATTTTCAGATACATTAATTATTAAAATATTTATATGCTTTTATTTATTATGAGATTTATATTTACAAGACACTTATCTATTACTCATAGAAATGGTGACAATACATTTCAAAAAAATATTTTTAATTATTAGTTAAAATTTATTAAAAATTATATATTTATGATAAAAAAAATATTAAATTAAATGTAAGAAAAAGTAAAACTTATATAATTTTTAATAAATTTCAACTAATAGTTAATAATGTGTCATAAAAAGTATATTATTAAAATTCCTCTTATCCATATAAGTAGATATATACATCCATTTAATATATAAATATCAATTTGATTATTTATTAGTATAAATATTTTTGAAATGTTAAATTTATGATATATATTAATTTTTATAAGAAGAGACTAATTCCATAAGAACATGTTTCAAATCATAAAAAAAAGTACATTATTATAATTTTTAATAATTTAAAAAAAAAAGTTAACTAGTATTTGAAAGATATTAGTTAGCAAATTTTCAGATTTTTATTATTTTATCTCAATGTTCCCAAAATTACTAAGGCCATCCATCTATATCTTTAGCTGAATACTGATGTAGGAGTGAGATTCTCTAGTGCTGGAGAGATACAAAAACAAAAGACAGAAACTGCTATTAGTTTGGAAATAGTAAAATGTTAACCACTTTTGAAACAATTTCTCTTTATAAACGCTAGCTGTAGAAGCTGAATGGTAAAATAACGCAGTAAATGATGACTTTATCATATGGTTTTGTTCAAACACGGCTCAATAATATCCACAATTCCAGTCCCTATCGTCCTTTCTATCATCTGTTGAATACAAGCAGCACGTGAAGGAATAGGAGATCAGAGAAACATGATCAGTTTCAAATACATCATCTGTTTAAATTTATTGTAAAACTTGTGTAACTATATTGTATTATAATAATAGATTTTGTTTAAACACTTCTAATGCACATTTTGTTGTGAAGGCTAAACCAAATATATATAATATGGAGACTTTTTATGTCTCTTTTTTGTTTTAAATTATATAGATAATATTGCATGATAACAAAAACGAAATATCATTTACACAAACTTAATTTTTAATAACTAAGGAGGATTATATATAAATTTAATTTTTTTTAGTAAGGGCCACCATCAACTAAGGGCCAATTAATCTCATGTGATATATTCTTTGACAAGATTAATAGTCCAAATCAATTGATGTACAACATATGAAGAAACACCATCAATGGACTCTATCCCACAACATTTTTGTGCACAATTATCAGTTGAAAAATTAATTTTCTTAATTTGTTCTAATAAAACAATATATGTTCTCATTCTAATAAAAAAATTTGACTGAGGTTAATTTTAGCATATATCTTAATTATGTTTAACAGTTTAAAATTATTTCTATCAAAATTAATTTTATCCAACTTTAAAAGTAGAAAGTTGAGAAAAGCTTGACATTCCGTGTCTTCCTCTGGCTCTGATTATCTGAGGGATGCGTTTCTATTTTTTAGTGACACATCTTGGAACTTGAACTTGAACTTGATTACTGTATAAACTTGTAACTTAAGCATCAACTAGATCAGACCAGTGAGTTTCCTTCTATATTATATAACCAAATAGCCAATTTAATCAGAACTTCAATGCGCTTAAACCTTAAGTCACTGACATAATCATG